TCTCGGGCTCCGAGGGCCAGCTGAAGCCCGGCGCCCGCATCTTCTCTTTCGACGGCAGAGACGTCCTACAGCACCCCGCCTGGTAGGTCTGCTGTGTGGGCACAGCAGCTCGGGGCCTCTCTGGATGCAAGAGCCCTGAGCAACGGGGCGACGCTCCTGGCTTTGAGCCTCCAGGCTGACCCAATCCTGGAACACGCTCGCAGCTTAAAACTCCCCAAATCCAGAAGCACAGAAGGAAGAGTAGACAGCATCGTTTGCGGTGTTGCCTGAAACACCCTCACCTGGCCTGCTTCCCCGGGCAAGCGCCCCCAACTTCCTGCTTCCCCGGGCAAGCACCCCCAACTTCCTGCTTCCCCGGGCAAGCACCCCCAACTTCCTGCTTCCCCGGGCAAGCGCCCCCAACTTCCTGCTTCCCCGGGCAAGCGCCCCCAACTTCCTGCTGGGGAGACAGGCTCCAGCCCCCTCTGTCTGTCACATAAACATCACAGCCAATTACTTCTATAAATTCCTCAACGTGGAACCTCTGGGTCGGAGAACTCGCGTGCCTACCTGACACGCTGGCGGAAGACGGTAGCTTGCCCTCAGGTCGGCTTCACGCCCATCGTGCCCCTGCTTGCAGGTGTGAGGCCCCTGTTCCCCAACACTCGGGGGCTCAGGGTCTCAGAGGAGGCCGCGTCCCTGCCTTCACGGAGGAGCACCGCCCAGGGTCGTGCTCCGGCCCGCGTGGGAGCCTCGGGCAGGGCTGTGGGCTCCACCGGCCCAGGGGCTGGTCCGAGGCCAGAACCCCAGGCCTGCGCCTCGTTCCCAGTGAGGAGGCTGCACCCAGATTGGCTTTACAAAGCACGGGCACTCAAAGCCAGGTCCACCCAGGCCCCGAAGGGTCAGCCCTCGAGGACACCGGGCACTGCTGGCCAGGCTGTGCCCCCAAAAGCAGCAGCAGGACGGGGTGTGATCTGGGAGGCCGAGCGCCCAGGACGAGGTTGGCCTGACTCCCGGCCACCCGAGTCCCTGCCCTCCCAGCGGCCCCCGCATCCCGCCAAACCTCCACCTTTGGGAGACGCCCTGTCCTACCTGGGGTGGCCTCCAGCGTGGGGCGGGGGTGGCCCCCGGTGAGACTGACGGCCGGTGCCTCTTGCAGGCCCCAGAAGAGCTTGTGGCACGGCTCGGACCCCAGCGGGCGCCGGCTGACGGAGAGCTACTGCGAGACGTGGCGGACTGAGGCCAGGGCGGCCACGGGCCAGGCCTCCTCGCTTCTGGCGGGCCGGCTGCTGGAGCAGAAAGCGGCGGGCTGCTACAATGCCTTCATCGTCCTCTGCATTGAGAACAGCTTCATGACCTCCTCCTCCAAGTAGGGCCTCTGCTGGCTCCATGGACAGATGGACGTGCAGACAGAGAGCCGGAGAAGGGCCAGGCGGCAGGCAGGGAGCGGACACGCCCCCGGCCCGAGTGGGGAGCCTCTGCTGGCGCCCAGGGCGGGGACCTGGCTGGGACACTTTCCTGTATGGTTCACGTTTCATGTAATCCTACAGTAATAAAAAGAAGCCAAAGAGTGTATTTTTTAAAAAGTTTAAGACAGCCTGGTTCCCAGACTCTCCCCCCACCCACCTCTCCCCCCAGAGCCTCGGTGCCTGTGCTGCCCTCCTGGCCCAAATCAGACCGGGGGTGGACCCGGCCCATTTAGGCAAGAGGCCGACTTGGAACCTTCTGCCTGGGGAGGCCTCCCGGGTGCCAAGTGGGGCCCCCAACCGCCCAGGCAGGTGCTGGTGGCTCCGTTTCCTGCCCAGAAAGCCTTGTGGCGCCAATGCCAGGCCTGTCTGCAGGGCAGCCGCGAGGAGGCGCTGGGGCCTCCCTCCTGCCCTCTCTCGAGCTGGCCGGCCCACTCTTGGGCCACGCGCAGTGCCAGGGGAGACCACCTCCTCTCAGCCTCTGGCAGCAACTCCCCTGGCTGCAAGGTTCCAAGCTCAAACCCCCCCGCACAACCCCGGGGCTCCTGGTGCTTCTGTGTGCAGCCAGCCCCACCACGTGGGCCTGTCTGCAGTCCTCTCTGTCTCACGCTGGCTTTCCGTGTCCCCCGAGGTCCCACCGGCACAGAGCCTGGCCCGCCCGGACTGTACTGGGAGAGATTTGAGGGGTCCATAAACCAGCACTGGGTCCCTGAGCCCAGACCTCACACCAGGTGCTCCTTCCCTGACTCCAATGCCTGCCCAGCTCTGCCCAGCAGCATGTCCGGGGACCCAACTGGGCCCAGACCCAGGCTGCCTCAAGTCCTGGGTCAGACCTGCCTCCTGCTGAGCTTGGTACCAAGGCCCCGGGTTCACCTTTGCAGGACAGAGAGGCAGAAGCCCTCGGAGGCAAAAGGCCACACGTGCCCCCGCCAGGACAGAGCCCACAGGCTGCCTAGCCGAGCCCTGGGACGGGCGAGGCTGCATGGAGGGGCTGGGCCTGCCCAGGACAGGGTTGGGCCGTGTCCACAGGCGGGCCACGCGTGCTTGGACCCTGCTCACCAGTCTGTAGCAGCACGTCTCGGGGGAAACCCACGTCATTGCCCTCCTTGTGGGAGGAGCGAAGGGAACATTTTGGAGTGCGCGCAGGCATCTCCAGGGGAGCTGGCGGGGTGGCCCAGAGCCCAGCTGCCCCAGGGTCTGCTGTCCAGGCACTGTGACTATAAACCGCAGGGGCTGGTCCTGTGAACTGTGTCTGTGGTTTCCAAACAGGCGCCAAATAAAAATGACCATTTACACTGACACTTGGTTTGCAAGCAGCTTTCACTGTCATGAGTCCTCGGGAGCCTCTGTTCTGGACGGCCTAGCTGGCCAATCCTGCTAAAGGAGCACAGGTGTGCACAGGTATACGCAGCAGCAGATGTATACGCATACACACAGGTGTGCAGATGTACACGGATGCACGTGAACACACATGGGTTCCCAGATGCATGGTCGTCCTTCAGTACCCGTGGGGGATTTGTTCCAGGACCCCGTCAGATACCAAACCTGCGGACGTTCAGGACCCTTATATAAAATGGTGTAATACTTGCATACAGCCTATGCACATCCTCCTGTATGCTTTAATTTATCTCAGGTTACTTATCATACCTAACACAAGAAAAACGCTACATAAATAGTTGTAAATACAATGTAAATTCCACGTAAATAGTGGCTGACACATGGCCAATTCAAGTTTTGCTTTTTGAAACTCTCTGGAATTTAGAAAAAAATATTTTCAATCCATGGTTGAATCCTCAGATGTGGAATGCAGATATGGAGGGCCACCATGGGTGGGCGCTGGTGTACATGGATATACACACGTGTGCAGATATACACATCTGTGCATGGGTGTGCGTGGATAAACGCAGAGGCACACAGATGTGAGTGGATATACATGGGTGTGAGATACACGCAGGTGTACACAGATGTACACGGATGTGAGATACAGATACACATGGATGTACACGGCTGTCCATGGATGCCACAGGCGCCCCACAGCTTTCTTCTCTCTCAGGGTCTCCCCGGCAGTGGCCAGCAGCCTCACAAGCTCTTCGGAGCCGGGTAGGTGGTCCGGCCCTGGCCCCCATGCTCCCCACAGGCGGAGGCGGGAGACCAGGGCGCTGGGTCGTGCTCATGGGGGGCACCGAGCAGTCGCTCCTGGGTCAGTAGCCAGAGACGAGCCTCCTCCACCCATCAAGCTCCGCCAGCTCCCTGAGGACGGAGAGGGTGCCGCCCCTTCCCAGCAGCACCCTGGGGTCGGCTGTGGTGTCTTGTGCGGAGGCGCCTGGGGACCACCTGCCCTATCTGACCCACACCAACGGCCGTGAGTTGAGTCAAGCTGCGTGTGCAGCCTCTTCCTTGACCCTCAGGGTGGCCCGAGACGCCCTGCTCACCCAACCCAACCTCGGGGGTCCCAGGGAGCAGCCAGCTCCGGCCCCTCCTCCACCAGGAGTCCTGCTCTGAACTCGCAGCAGCAGCCTTTCCCAAAGACCCTGGATGAGGGCTGGAGGCCATGGGAGGGGCCGGATTCAGCTCAGGATGGGGTTGGGTCCTCAGCTGCTGGGGGGCAGGGCTGGGACCCTCTCGACCGGATGGATGCGTGGAGTCAGGGGTCCCCTCACTCGGGCTGTGTGTCTGCTTCACGTGCCTGCGGCCAAGCGGACGGTGTCACGTGTCAGAGGAAGCACGACCGGCTCTCGGGCCCGGCGGCAGTGCCCGGGGGACGTGGGCGAGTCCCCCGGGGGCTGGCGCGTGAGCGGCCCCCACCACCGGGAGGGGGTCCGCATCAACCCAGCTCCGGATCGCAGGGCAGAGAGGACCTGGGGTGAAGCCCAGAACAGAGGAGCCGGTGCTCCCGGGCTTCCACCCGATGGAACCGCCACCCCCAGCACCCGCTTCTCCCCCAGAAACAAGCCAGAAGAGGGTCCTCATTTTTGTCAGTTTTTTTTCAAAAAAAACAACGAAAGTACCTGGACAACTGCAGACATCACAGTTCAGCCACAAGCTCAGGAACACGGCCCCCACCCCCAGGGCCCGGGACTCCCCGTGGGCACCGGGTCCCCTGGGCTTGCGTCCACCTCGCCATTTCCCCGGGACAAGGGGGTGAAAGCAGGGAGGTCTGGCGTGCACGTGGACCCCCCGCACCGGCCACGTGTAGGCAGGGACACCAAACCAGCCCCCAGTGGCCGGGCAGCTGCCTGAGCGTCCCCGGCAGGCCGCGGGTCACGGCCAGGGCGTGAAGCAGGGCTGAGGAGTGCCCCGCTCGGGGTGAGCCGAGGACCCCTCGCGGAGGCCGGAGGCCCCCGAGGCTTGGGTCTCAGGGACAGAGCACCGGGGGCCCGTCAGTCACCAGTGCCACCATCTGACGATGTGGACGATGCCGGCAACCTGGCTGCGGACACCCAGAAGCCAGGCAGCTGCTGGGGACGTGTCAGCTCTGAGGTCAAGGCCCAGGCTCGCTGCCTCGGGTGTCAGGAACCTGGCCGCCCACCGGCCAGGAGAGCAGGTCGCGCAGGGTCAGGCCTTGGCCTCGGGCTGCTGTCTCTGCTCCCCCACGGCTCGCACGCCGTCCTCCTCTGGGGCGGGGCCGTCCTCCTCTGGGGCGGGCCCGTCGTGCACGGCCGGCTCCTGCATCGGGCTCATCAGCTCCTGGGCCGGCGGCGGGGGCTGGCGGCGGCCCTGTCGGAAGTGGCGCACGCCCGCCAGCATGGCCGCAAGGACGTAGGCGACAAACAGCACCAGGAAGTACACAAAGTAGATGAGGAACTGGAACAGAGAGGGTGCAGGTGAGGCGGGCGGGGGCACCCAGGGGTCATGGAGGCCGGAGCAGGGCCCAGCCTCCACCCACCCAGCGGGGCTTCCGCAAACCCAGCACTTCTGCGCCTCCGCCATCTGCCCCGTAGCACTTTGATCACCTTGTGTGACAGCAAACGTGCACTTGGCTCTGGGGCCAGGTCCTCACGGAGGACACCTGTGCGGGCGGAGGCTGGTGGAGGAGGACAGGCCGCCCAGGTCTCCCGGCCCCCGCCGCCCCCATGGCCCCAGGGCAGTGCAACCCTGCGCCCCGGGACCAGTGAAGCTGCTCAGCGGTGATGCACAGGGAGGAGTGCCCAGCACACGGGAAACTCCCCCCGGTTCTCAGACCGCAGGGGGCAGGGGTCCAGGGTGGCCTCCTTCGCGTGTGGGCCAGACGAGCATGAGTCCCGCCCACGGCCCCGGAGCTCAGCTGCCCCAAGCGGTCTCCCCGAGAACCCCTCAGCACTGTATGCTCAGCCCTGCTAGGAAAGCTCATTTTCAGAAGCAAAACCAGGAAATGAAACGTCGGGGACTTGGCTTCCAGGAAGATGGAGCTGGCATGACTTGCCTGTTCCTCGCAAGTACGATTAGAACCCTGGACACTGCACAGACAACACACAGAAGGTGCCTCTGAAAAGTGGATGGGGGCAGACTAGCTGGGGCCTTGGAATCCAACGAGCACCACGTCAATGTGTTCCCTGGGCTTTTTTTCTTTCTGCTGCAAGTATCTTTAAAGGAACCAAAGAAGCCCACAAACCAGAAATACCAGGAAACACAGAAGAAAACATTCAACAAAAGCTGCTCCACCCAAAGGGGCAGGAGAGGGACCCCCACCCACCCAGCAGGACAGGACACTGACGAGTGGGAGCCCCTCTCCTCCAGCCAGGCCCCACCCTCGTGACCCAGGCTGTAAAACCCCCACCCCCGTCGGGTGGTGTTGGTCAGGGCCCAGTGGGGAGCTGGAATGTTCACCCCCATAGGGACCACATGGAAAGCCTGGACTTTCACTCCCCCCAGGTGGTGCCCCGCTTCCCTGAAGAGTCAGGACTTTTACCCCACCCAGCCGCAGTGAGAATGCCCCTCCCCCACCAGTGTCACTGGGGCCACGTGGGGAGCAGTAATGAGGTACCCATGGCCCTCCTGACCACTGCAGGCCATGTGGGGAGCTGGCGCTCCCTTCCTTGCCCAGCGGTAAGGAGAAGCCCCACCCCAGCCCTCAGCGTGAGGAGGGCTGAGTGGGGAGCCTAGAATTCCACCTCACCTGGCTATAACGAGGTGCATGCCCCTAGTCCTCTGCTAGGCTGGTGTCAGGAGAAGCTAGCTAAAACAGAAGGATTAAATAAGAGCCAGAGTCTCAAAACATAATAGCCAAAATGTACAGGATTCATTTAAAAAAAATCACTCAGCATACTTACAACCACAAAGATCTCTAAATGAATGAAATACAATCAACAGACACCCACACCAAGATGACAGAGATGTTAAAGTTATCTGAGAAGGATTTTAAAGTAGCCATCATGAAAATGCTTCAACAAGCAATAACAAACATGCTTGAGACAAATGAAAAAAGTCTCAGAAAAGAAACAGAAGAGATAAAGAAGAAAAGTTACAATTGAAAAATATAATAACCAAAATAAATACTCAGCAAATGGTCTCAACAACAGAATGGAGGGCACAGAGAAAAGAATCAGTGAACTGGAAGATGGAACAATAGAAATCACCAAATCTGAACAACAAAGAGAAAACAGATGGGGAAAAAAAGCAGAGCCTCATTCTCCAGGGGACAAAATGTAACACTGTGTCATGGGTGTAAAATAAGAAGAAAGAAAAAGAATGGGGCTGAAAAAGCACTTGAGGAAATAATGACTGGGAAAACTTACCAAGTTTGGCAAGGGACATAAACCTATGGATTCAAGAAGCTGAGAGAACCCCAAACAAGACGACACCCCCCAAATCAGACCAACACACACCATATTCAAATTTTTGAAAGCTAAAGACAAAGAAAAAGGAAAAATCTTGAAAGCAGCCAGAAAAAAAACTGACACCTTAAGGGAAAAATAATTAGAACGACAGTGTATTTTTCATCAGAAACCAGGAAGGCCACAAGGAAATGACAAATTTTTCTCATACTGAAAAATTCAGGAATGAAAAATCAATCAAGACATTCTCAAATAAAGAAAAACTAAAAGAACAATTTGTCACCGGCAGACCTGCCTTAAAAGAATGCTTAAAGGAGGTTCTCTAAACGGAAAGTAAATGATAAGAAACTTGGAACATCAGGAAGGAGAAAGAACACAGTGATCAAAATTGTGGGCAAATAGACTTTCCTTCGCTTCAGTTTCCTAAATGTTTGACAGCTGGAGCAAAACTTATTATCCTATCTTAGGTGGCTCTAATGGTATACAGAAGAAATAAGTAAGACACTTGTACTTAAGCAGAAGAGAGAAAAGTGACCTAAAGGAGGTGAGATTTCAATACTTCACTACAACTGGCCATTTAATACACAAAGCAACCATCAAAAAAGTCACCATGAGAGATACACTCAAAAATACAACAGATAAACCAAAATGAAATTCTGAAGAATCTGTAAATCTATGAGAAGGCACAAAGAAAGAAAACAGAAACAAAAGGCAGAGAGAAGAAAAAGAAAACAAAAACTGAAATGGCAGACATAAGGACTAATACATCAACAATTACACTAAATATAAACGGTCTAAATAAACCAATTACAGACAGATACTGGCAGAGTGGATTAAAAAAACATGACGACAACCATATGCTACCTACAAGAAACTCAGGTATAACGATATAGTCAAGTTAAAAGTAAAAGGATGGAAGATAATATGTCATGTAAACATTAACCAAAGGAAAGCAGAATGGCTATATTAATATCAGGTAAAGTAGACTTCAGAGGAAAGAAAATGACCACAGGCAGAGAAGAACATTATATAATGATAAAAGGCTCAATCCACCAAGACATCCAGTGTATGTGTATGCAACAGAGAGCTGCAAAAACGTGAAGCAAAGACACGACAGAAATGAAAGGAGAAATAGACAAAGTCACAGTTATAAATGGAAATCTCAACACCCCTTCTCAACAATAGGCCAGACAAAAAAATCCATAAGGATAGAGAAGAAAGCAATACCACCATTGACTATAGGACCTTATTGATATTTATGGAACACTCCACCCCAAAACAGCAGAATTCACATTCTTTTCAAGTGTACATGGAGCTTATAACAAGATAGACCATGTCCCAGTCCCTAAAACAAACCTCAACAAATTATAAGAACTGAAATAATACAGATTGTGTTCTCTGATCACAAAAGAACATCATCAAAATAGAAACCAATAACAGAAAGATAACAGGAAAATATCAAAACACTTGGAAAAGAAACAACACATTTTGAAATAATCATAGGTCAACTAGAAAGTATGAAAGGAGATAGAAATACATAGAAATGAATGAAAAAGAAAATACAACATATCAAAATCTGTGGGGTGTAGCTAAAGCAGGCTGAGAAGGAAATGTATAGCAATAAATGGAAATATTAGAAAAGAAGAATTCTCATACGATTTATCTAAGCTCCCATCTAAAGAACCTAGAAAAAGATGAGCAAAATAAATCCAAAGTAAGTAGAAAGAAGGAAATAATAAGGCCAAAAGTTCTAGCCAGTAACAGTAAGGCAAGAAAAATAGATAAAAAGCATTAAAAAAAAGACCTCCCAAAACTAATAAGTGACCTCAGCAGGACTTACAAGGTTAACTCACAGATGTCAGTGTGTTTCTTACACAGGCAGAGCTCAGAGAGATTGTTCAGGTCCGAACCACCGCAATAAAGTAAGTATTGCAATAAAGCAAGTCACACAAATTTTTTGGTTTCCCAGGGCATATAATAATTATGTTTATGCTATACTATAGTCTATTAAGTGTGCAATAGCATTATGTCTAAAAAGAAACAGTGTGCATACCTTAATAAAAATACTTTATTGCTAAAGAATGCTAACCGTCATCTGACAATGCAGGGCTGCCACAAACCTTCAACTTGTAAAAAAAGTCAGTATCTGTGAAGCACAATAACGTGATAAGAATGAGGTCTGCCTGTCCCAGCAGTGAACACCTGGACTGTTATGAACTGAACTCTATCCCCCCAGAATTCATTTGTTGAAGCCCTAAGCCCCAGTGTGACTGTATTTAGAGATGGGGCCTTTCAGGAATGATGAAGGTTAAATGAGGTCATGAGGGTGGGACCCTAATCCAGTAGGACTCCTTATAAGAGAGAGACACCAGGAGTGCACACGCACCGAGGAAAGACCACATGGGGACACAAGGAGAAGACGGCCGTCTGCATGCTGAGGAGAGAGGCCTCAGGAGAAACCAAACCTGCAGACACCTTGATCTCAGACTTCCGGCCTCCAGACTATAGAGAATAAATTTCTGCTGCATAAACTACCCAGTCTGTGATATTTTGTTACGGCAGCCCTAGAAGATTAATGCAGACACCAAAATTATAAATACAGTATCATTTACAATTGCTAAAAAAAAAAAAAAAATGAAATTCTTAGGAATAAATCTAACAAAACATGCACAGCACTACAGTACTTGCATGTTGAAAACTACAAAATGCTGAAAGAAATCAAAGTTCTAAGTAAATGGAGAGACACACCATGTTCACAAGTTGGAAGATTCAACATAACAAAAGATGTTAATTCTCCCAATATTGATAAACAGGCTTAATGCAATTCCTAGCAAAAGCCCAGCAAACATGTTTGTAGATATACACATGAGTACTCTAAAATGTATAGGGAAAGGCAAAGAAACTATTATAGCTAAAATAATTTTTTTTTAAATTTCAAAGTTGGAGGAATCGGTGTACCAAATTTCAAAAACTTACCACCTAGCTACACAAGCAGGACAGTGTGGTGGTGGAGGGAGGGTAGGCACATAGCTCAACAGAACAGACAGAGAGCCCAGAAACAGACTCACGCAAGTGGTGGAAAGCAATGCAGTCTTTTCAACGAATGGTGCTAGAGCAACCAGACATCCACAGACAAAGGAATGAAATGTTGTAAGCTTCACACCTTACAAAAAATTAACTCAAAACAGGTCACAGACTTAGATGTTGGGGAAAATCTTTGGGACCCAGGGCCGAAGAGTTATTATATGTGACACCAAAACTAAGATCCACAAAAGGACAAATGAATAAATCAGACCTCATCAAAATTAAAAACTTATGTTGCACACAACCCTATTAGGAAGATGAGATGGTGAGCTACGAGCAGGGAGAAACCTTTGCAAAGCACACATCCAACAAAGGACTACTACCTAGAATACACAGACATTCTCAAAACTCAAGTGAAAAACCAAAGGAGCCAATTAGGAAATGCGCAGAAAAGTGAAGGAACACTTCACCAAAGAGGATGTACAGATGGCAGCTGCACGTGGGGAGGACAGCGTCATAGCCATCAGGGAAAAATGCAAATGGAACCACAGGGACCACCAGCCCTCCACACGGCTCGGAACGGCCGAACAGATACGGTGGCCACACTGAACGCTGATGAGAATGTGGGGAACCCGGATCCCTCAGGCAGGCCAGTGGGAATGTAAAATGGTGCAGCGACCGTGGAAAACAGTCTGGCAGCCACCACGTGACTCAACAACTGTACTTTGGGGCATTTATCCAGAGAAATGGAAATCTGGGTTCACACAAAAAGCTATACGCAAATGTTCAGAGCAGCCCCCAACCGGACAAAGCCAGGGCTCTTGGCAGTGAGCAGGTAAATGAGCCGTGGTCCAGCCACTGCGGAGCCCCGGGCAGCAAAGGACCGGAGAGAGGTAGCCACGCATCTGCAGGACTGGGGCTGAGTGGGGAAGGCAATCCCGACGCACAGCTGCAGGGTCCCACTCTCGCGATGACAATGCTGTAGAAATGGCGGGCAGACCGTGGTGGCCAGGGGTCGGGGAGGAGGCAGGGTGGGGGCCCGGCGTGGCCACAGGGGGCAGGGAGGGATGCTCCCGTCTCGACTGTGTGCGGCCCGTATCCCGAGAGTGCCCGCGCCGCAGAACTGCAGGACGTGACCGGTGGCGGGGCTGGGCCCGCACCAGGTACGTGGGTCTTTGCATCACCTGTTACCCCACCGGTGAGTGTGTGGTGACCCAGAAGTAGAGTTCAACTTAAAAGACCAGCCCGCCCAGGCCAGCTCCCTGCCTGCTCCGTGCTGGTTCCCAGCACCGGCTCTGCCCCACTCTCGCCACCCAGGACGGAGGGAGGGGGCACCCGGAACACCATGCGCAGGAGAGGTGAGTAGGACGAGCCGGGGCGACTTCCCTTCTGGATGCCACCAGGATTACTAGCTACGAACCAACCTCTCGAGTTACCTTTTAACCAGGGAATTAATCCAGCAGGAGAAAAATCAATATACTGTCGTCAGCTTGACCCAGCGTGGCTGGAAGCTGTCACGTGGCAGGGGCTGGGGCCAGGTCAGGCGAGGAAGGCCCAGCCCCTGCTCCCCGCCTTGGGCCCCTCGGAAGCCCCGCTGCCCGGAGCCAGGACACCCAGGGCTCCAGGGAGGGAGAGGCTCCCCCAGGTGCTGGGGCCCCTCCCAGGCCAGCTGGACAGCTGCCATGCAAGGCCCCATGGGAAGGCCAGGGGACAACATGCTCCCCTGTGGAGGCCACCGCTCTGGGGGAGAGGCCTCCCCTGGAGGGTCCCGGGTGAAGGAGGCCCCAGCCCGCCACCTCTGGACGACAGGCCTTGTGCTCTCCGGACAAGCCCTCCTGCCCACCCCGTAGGTGCAGCTGCACATGCACCTGTGGACCTGAGTCCAGCCTGGCCACCCTGCTCAGCCACAGTCCCCAGTGTTCAGCCTGGGGTGGATGGGGCAGTGTCCCTGGAGGGCCCCGCTGGTGACCAAGGGCCAAGACCTGCCTGCCCATGTGGACACAAAGGACCAGAGGCTCCTATGTCCTTCACCAAAATGGGTGTCCAAACCCCATCCAAAAAGCCAGTTTCTGAACAAGAGGGTCTCTCATGCCCGGGACTTCCTTCCTGGCCAGCTTTTGGATCACCAACTCACCTCGGACGGAGGGCTGGGACTTCTCCACGGAGCCGAACAAGCCCCAGGGAGGTCTGGGCTCCCAGCAGATGGAGGCTGCATTCCACAGGCAGAGGGCGGGGCAGGATCCCCGGGGAGCCCGGCGACAATCCCTCCCACAGGACCACCCTCTGGCTAATTCCAGCTCACTCAAGACTGGTCCTGCCCTGGGTGAGGCCACCAGGAGTCACATGCCCGAGCGGCCCCCAGTCTCACAGCAAAGAGGAATTCTCAAGTTCTTTGTAGAAGACCGAGGACCCGCCTAGGACTGGATGGAGGGAGGGGACGGGAAAGGGGCCAGCACGCGCCAACGTCAACCCCACGAGCTCCACTCTCTGCTGCCCTCCACAGAGGAGACAGACGGCTGTCATGTGAGCCAGGACCCATCACAGGCAGGGACCTGAAGAGGGCACAGGGATGCTCGGCCACGCCTCCGTCCCTCCTGGGACCTCAGCCAGTGCAGGAGGCGCCCAGGGCCGGTGAGGGCGCCTCCAGAGCAACCCGCACCCAGGCAGGCCTTGGAGGCCCCAGAGGTCTCGCCACACTCGACCGCGCACGCCCACCGCACTGCCCAGATGCAGGCGGCACTTACAGCCCCAAACTCAGCCCTGGCAGGGAGCCGCACAGGCCAGACTGTGGCCCCTGTCACCTGGCCCTCTGACCCTTCCCTCCCTGCTCCCGCTCAGTCCAGGGGGTCTGGATGGAGACGCCCCACCCTCAGCGGCTCTGTGGCCTGGGTCCCGGGACAGGCCACACCACTGGCTGCGTGGCCACGAGGAGGCCTGGCCAGGACTCGCCCCAGAGCCTTCCCGCCTCTAGGAAGTGAGCCCAAAACGGGGGCTCACCTGAGAGTGGACCGGGAGGCCCAGGCCCCGCTTGTCGGAGACAACGAGGGTGATGATGGTCTTGAGGACAGTGGCGAGAAACGTGTTGACTCCGAAGACAAGGGCGCGGAGCTCTTGAGAAAGAGAAGACGCGATCTGAAAACTTAATGGGGAAGCGGCGAGGTCAGCCCCCGCTGGGGGCAAGGTGCACGCACAGGCGCAGAGGGCCCAGGTGCGGGGCAGCACTCCCGGGCCACCAGGAACAGCCGCGGGGCATAGGCGAGACCCGCCCAGTGCCCAGGCTGCCCGCCGCTCCGGGGCTGCGTCCTGAACTGGCACGTCCTCCTGCAACGACTCACAAAGCGAGTGCAAAGCCAGTCGCAGAAGGCAACCGCGGGAGATGCTTGGAGTCTCCAGGACAGAGTAAATCATGATCACTACAGGGTTCCAAGAAAACCCGCCTCACGGGAGCCGGGCATTAACAGACAGGGCACCGCACGGACAGAGCACGAGGAAAATTCCAGGATTAAAGTCCTTTGTCGTTAAATGTTTCAGTAAATTATAGAAAGAACCGTAAAACAAATAAAGAAAGCAGGAGGAATTAATACGCTCAGAGCCTGCAGGGCTCTGCAGAGAAATTAACATTTGAACGTGCTTCCCAAAGTGCCTTTAAAAAAAAAAGAAAAAACTGATCAAAAAGTGTCCTAAAGCTCTGAAGAATAAATGAACAAAAATACCCAAGAAGCCTTTACAGAGAATGACCGACAAGCTTCTGCCGGGGCTCAGGGGGAGGGGGCAGTACACGAAGTGCAAGGATGAGCGGTCACGTGACAAGCGGCACCCGAAGAGAAGACAGCCGGTGGATCAAAGGTCCCTGACGGAAGGTTAACTCCCGAGAAGCGGGAGCTGGGCCAGGTCCCGCAGGCGTGGGCAGAACGCCACACCACACACACAGCTGATTCAGAGTTGGATTTAAAGCAAACGGTAACACAGCAACACATAATAAAAGGCTCCTATCACATGTGGTAGAGGTAAGCGCACTGCAGATAATCAGGAAAAGAGAAATCCCAGCAGAAAAAGAAGCCACAGGTATACACTGGGCAGGACACCAGGGAAAGGCAAGTGACCCACGGGCCGCCCTCCACCACCCGCAGGGGCTGTGTGCCTGCCTGGACAGCGTCTGCGACATCTCTGAAACCCCCTTCCAAAGCGCGTGCCCTCTGACCTGGCCGGTTCCCTTCCAGGACCCACCTGAGGCCATTATCAGAATTTGGGAAGAAAAATGTAGGTGAGAGGGGGTGGCTCCCATGTTGTCTGTCACGGGAAGACATCGGAGACAGGGCCTTATCACCAGGAGGACCGACGACAATGCCCTCTGACATGGAGCCACGCGGTTACGAGGGGCAGGGGTGCAGAGTGACCCCGGCTCGCTCCAGGCAGCCCGACACCCACGTCAGCCACGGGGGTTGGGGTCTGAGGGGGTCTGCTGTCTCCTTGACGCCTTTCTGCCTCACATTTGACCTTTTCTGCATCATATCGGGTCTTTTTGCCACGAACATCTATGGCTTTTACAATTAACAAGGACACGTGAGACACTAAGTGGTCCTGGGAGAAGTGAGAGAAAGACACCCACAGCCCTGGCGCCCGTTCCGAAACGCTGTCCGTGACAGGACAGGTGGGACGTTTCCAGGCTGAGTGTCAGGAGAGGACACAGCATCCAGTGTGCACGGAGTCCAGGCCACAGCCATGGCCATGTGGGCCGGGGGGCGTTAGCAGCAGAAATCAAGAGAGCAGGGCCAGGGTCGCTGGGGTGTCTGGGCAGCACTGACCCTGATGGGGAGGAAAGGAAGGACGCAGCCCAGGGCAGGAAGGGGACGCTGGGCGCCGGGCGCTCCTGTGAGGCGGCTCAGGGGAATCAGGCCACCACACTGCGGGGCGACGGCTGCTGAGGATCAGGACTCCGAGGACACGCTCTGAGCCCAGCACCAGGCAGGGACAGATCTCGCTGGGTGTGACCGGAGTGGACAGTCCAAGTGGGGAGGGAGGTGCCCCCAGGGAGATGGGGCTCGGAGGGGAGCTAGGGCCAAACAGCTGGAGACAATGACAGGCCACCTGCCAGGTGCAGGAGGTGTAAGCATGTGTCCTGAGCATGTGTGCTGTGTGTGGCATGAGGGCATGTTATGGCGTGAACACATATGGCGTAAGCACGTGTCCGGGGTGAACACATGGTGTGCATGTGCAGCTTCGTGAGAGGTCCAGTTCAAAGGGTGTACGAGGGTGTCAGAAGCCAGCAAGATGTGGGCTGAGGAAGGTTCTGGAAGGCACGGATGGTTGGCAGGCAGCTCCAGGGATGTCCCTGGGCCAGTGCTGGAGTATCCCCAGGAGTGTGAGGAACACAAGGTCATCGGGGGAAGGGCTCCCCCGGGCAGAAGGCAAGCCGGGTCACCCAGTCACTCTTGGGCTGTGTGCCACCGTGCCCAGCAGTGGGAGTGGGAGGGGATGGGAATGACCCAGGAAGGGACAGCAGGGCCAGGAGACTGGAAGCAAGGACTTCCCGAGGTCCAGTCCCTGTGGACACTGTGGCTCAAGGCGGGAGCAAAGGGGACGCCCACATGGCTCCTTGCCCAGCCCTGCGATCCCGGTGGCCAGGACAGGGCATGCTGTGGACAAGCGGGGCCCTGGCTAAAGGCACCCAGGGCTCACGCGCCTCCTGATGAGAGTGACGTGCCAGCACACCTGCTCCACGCTGCCCGGCACATACCCTTGCTGCTCCCCATGGAACCTTCTGGAAGGAGGCCTCTCGATACACACAGCGCACAACCCTCCAGCTGCCCACCCTCGGCTCCAGTCTTTCGGGACTCTCCTGCCAGCAGTCCCCTGTGGCCACCCCGCACCAGCCCGACTCACGTGGCGACAGGCACCAGGAACTGGTAGGAGCCACGGAAGAGCACGAAGGCCGAGTAGCACAGCCAGATGCTGCTGGTCTTGTACATGAGGAAGACCAGCCCGGCCTGCAGCACCGTAACCACCGCGATGATCAGCTCGGCCCACAGCGCCCAACGGATCTTCACGAAGCCGGCGGCAAAGGAGGTGATGGCACCTGGGGAGACAAGACGCGTCAGCGCCGCCCTCGGCCTCACGGGTCACCGCTGTCTGGGCGAGGCAGGCGGGGCATACCGAGCAGAGTGGAGGCGGCATCCGCCCCGCCGTTGTAGACCCTCGTGGTGTCCGTGGTGGGGTTGACCACGTTCCACAGGATGTGCACGTAGTAGACGATCAGGTAGTAGCCGGCGGAGCTGAAGACCCACCAGAGGGACCAGAGGCGCAGCTGCGGCAGCCGCGCGGTGCGGCCCAGCTCGCGGAGCATGTGCGCGAGCGCCGAGTCCCGCCAGGAGGCCGGCAGCCAGTCCGGCTTCCCACCCGTGGGCTGCCCTTGGCCCAGGTTCATCCGGTCCAGCTCGGAGGGCGAGGCCCCAGCCCTTGCGGGCGCTCCGCGGCTAAAGAACAGGCTGCGCTTGGGGCGCTTCAGGAAGAGCGCGAGGACCAGACTGAAGGCGAGGAAAGCCAGCGAGATGTAGTGGAGCGTGGAGAAGGGGACCCTGCCCATCGTGACCAGCAGCTGGCCCAGCACGGAGCTGGTGAAGACGCCCAGCAGCACGGAGGCCCGCGAGTAGCCGGCCATGCGCTGGTAGCAGGCGGGGGGCACCAGCGAGAAGATGTAGGAGGAGTAGGCGATGCGGGCCGCCATGGTGATGCTGAAGAAAAACTCCATGAACTGCATGTGCAGCACGGACGAGCCGAAGAGCAGCAGAAGCCACACGGACACGTAGCTCAGGCCCTGCAGCAGAAGCACCGGCTTGTAGCGCAGGGAGTCCGTCCGCAGGGAAAGCGGCACCAGC